GCTTCTTTAGACGTTAACTTGGTAAAAATATCTTTCTCTTAACCATGCTGTAAGTACTTTTGAACTTTATAAACTAAGGGAGGTTAATTTCGTATTAAATAAAATAATTTGTTGTCGTCCTTCTGATTCTTCCAAGAAAAATTTGAAAAGTGCCCCTTTGCTCAGGTACGAACTATGCAAAAGTACGGCCTCCGCTTGAACCATATGTAAGTTAAAATAAACCTCACAGTCCACAAGAGTTGAAACAAGTCACTCCTCAAAATGGATTGTTTCGAAAATCCTCGTATATGGCGCTCTACTTCTGCAAACAATAAGACATTGTTTTGTTCGCATTACTGCTCTTGAGTTGGGTTAAAGGAAGGTACGGTTTGAAATTCTGCGAGCGATCAAGACTTACAGCTTCTTTATGGAACAAAACAAAACTTTTCGGCACGGCTTCATATAAGAAATGCGTTGAGAAGAGCTCAAAGCTAACCTTACTACGTCCCGCCTATCTGCAGAGAAATGAAATTGTCTACTAAGTAGGAATTTCATTTGTTTTCCTCATCTCTGAGATGTGCTCCATAGGAAAATTTTCAACACATGTGGCGAAATTCTACGAAAACTCCAAAATTTTGTTTTTGAGTTTATTTAGAATCTTACAGCCAAACTTCATCCAAAACCTAGCGTAAGTAATGCAACATGAATTGGAAGTTTTCTTGCCCTTACTCAGTTCTTGTCAACCTCATATTCTGTGTCTACAGCAAAATCGAGCAGACTGAAGCTTGGCAGCAAAATATTTTTAGAATGCGCAATAATTACGAGTATGTAGTTAATGGTTACGGTATCTTCCTAAAGTTTCAAATTCTAACATATTGAAAGATAAAGATTAGCTGCGGTACGAGAATTATGCACGTGTGAAGTGTAGAAAAAAAATGCTTTGATGTAAATCTTGCTCTTTTTTCGTTCGCAATAATTTGAAATGCTATTTAGCTTAAAATTTGTGTGGTTGATAATTATGATTTTACTGACATGAAAAAAACGCGCCAAAACTAGGCAGAAACTTATTCGTCACGCTAATTACAACATTTCTGCTTTAACATCAAAGCATGTTTCGAATAAAGAGGATCATCATATATAAGACCTGAATTTATTATAAGGGTTGGTATATAAAAGAATCATATTGAACCGAAATACGGTATTTACAGTATCACACCACTTTTTAGGAGAAGTGGAAGAACGTAAAGTTACTTTTTAATAATCTTTTCATAAAAGTAATCTCTAAACCTATTTTGGCGTCGTCACCCGACACTAATGCGGGGTGATGCGGGAATTTTTTTAAAAATCAAAGCTGCGTATGAGACTATTTGTATCTGAAACTGTAACTTTCAGAATTCTGCCAAATGATGACGAGAAGGAAGTAAAACTACATTGCAGCCACTGTGTATTCGTTCTATATCAAGTGTTCTTACGGATTTTAATAATACTTATACTGTGGCAAACTATTCGCTCATTTCACTGTTCACTATGTCCTTGCTTTTCTCAAAATTCAGCATTGCACTCAAATGGTGACTTTTTCGGCTACCGATTTCGTAATGGCCTAAGTACCGAATGCGTTCGGCGTTCTTCACCAGATCATTATTGCCTCTCAGATTTGTGATCTAAACTTCTAATCAGATTATTCACTCATAAGTCATTTATGTTCTTCTGTGATTTCAATACAGTATAAACGAGGGTGAGTTACGGTAATAGAGTGTTAATTAATTTATCCATGAGCACATTGCAAATCTGGCAATCAATAACACAGAGATCGATATTCAGGAACATTGACATGGAAGAAGGCTTTGTAATAGTTATGAATTGGAAAAGCAGATAACCAGGAAAAATAAGGAAGTGAATGACAACGAGGCAAATTCAGTACAAATGGACAATAATTTTATTATATACGCACCTTTTTGAGGTACACAATTAATATAATCCTAGCATTTCTGTAATATCTACGCAAACGTCTCCCTCATCCGGGATCCGTAAAGAGGTGCCAGTTCTCGAAGTGGCAATGAATTTG